GTTTTTTTTTTTTTTTACTCATTAGTATTACATCCGCCAAGGAAGTTATGCGTTTTGGTAGAGTTGGTTCGTTCGTTAGTTAATAGCAGGATAACTCAAGGTCTATACGAGTTTTTTTTATGATTTTTTACAAGAGTTATTTCTTGCCCATTTTAGATGCCATTGAATTGTGGTGGTTATATTGCTCATGAACCGGACCCTCAGCAGGCTATCTCAAAAAGTAATGAAAAATTCTTTATATTTTTTTTCTCCAGAGGGGCCCTAACTCAACTTATTTGTCATTAAATGTTGGTGGAGGGCTAGCTAGATAACTCAAAAAGCTATGAGCAGATTTTTATGATTTTTTTTACCAGAGGGTGTCGTAGCCCAACTTAGATGCCATTGGATTTTGGTATTGATTCGGATCCAGGAATTTTTAAAGGATCCATTAACATCGGGCGTGATATACTTGACGAAGAGGTGATTTTAGTCTAATTCTTCGTGTGAATATTTTTATTGCATCAATAACCCTGTTGTCATGTTACTATGATGATTATTACTATTTTTATTATTTTTATTTCATTATCATTATCACTGTTATTATTACCATTAACGTCCTTTTCATTATCATTATTATCAGTATCATTATCTGCTATCTTTACACTTATCACTGTTATCAGTTTCATAATTGTTATAATAATATATATTATAATCATTATCATTATTATCATTATCATCCTCATTGCTATCACTTTTGTTCTTACTATCATTTTTAATATTATTATCATTACTATTATTATTGATGTTATTATGAAATTGCTATTATCATTACTATCATTTTTACTATCGTTATTGTTATTGGTATTACTTTTGTAACTATTATTATTTCTTATACGTCTTATTATTATTATGATCATTATCATCATCATCATTATTATTGGTAATAACACCATCATTATAAGAAAAACAAAAACAAAAATAATGATAGTAATAATAATTATTATTTTTATTTCCATCATTATTATAATTATTATCATGAGTATTCTTATGATTATTATCATTATTATTTCTGTATTATCGTTATTATTATTGTTATCAGTATTGCTGTTATTATCATTATTTTCTTTATTGTTATTGTTATTATTATTATTATTATTATTATTATTATTACTATTATCATTATTGTTGCTATTTTATAACATTTTCTGTTATTACTACTATTAATATCATTATTATTATTATGATTATTATTGTTATAATTATTATTATTATCATTATTTATATCATTGTTGTTATTGGGATCACTATTATTACAATTATTATCCTCATTCGTAGTAACACTATTATAATTAATCGTGAAAATCATTCCCAATGTTATTAATGCTATGATGAAAATCCTCAAAGTCGTTACTGTTGAAAATTAAAGTGATGTGTTACAGAAGAATTCACCTGCAACAATAATGTGCAACGTAACACCATAGTTATCCGTATACTCCATAAGCATAATCAACGGATTTCAGGCAGATCACTCCCAGCCTGTGCTTAAACTTCTCATCCTCTCCAGTCTGGCTTGTAATAAACATTTCGTTACGTAATACCATTTGTATTCGTAGTACATAAAGGGTGTTTTTTTCCATATTTTCCTGGTCGTAAACAAACCAAAACAGTTCATTAAGTGACCATTATCACACAAAAACTACAAATTCATAAAACATGAAAAATGTATAATGTAGAATCTGGTGGTTATGTGCAATGCTAAAAAAATAAATGGAAATATATTGCAAAAGGCGACGTTTGGTATGTTAGTCTCAAACACTCCGGCTGTGTTGCATGTAGAGGCGTTTTTCTATTATGCGTAGAAAAAAATGACCTTCAGAGAGTGGGGGGAGGGTGTGATACCAAGGGACGGAGAGAGAGAGAGAGAGAGAGAGAGAGAGAGAGAGAGAGAGAGAGAGAGAGAGAGAGAGAGAGAGAGAGAGAGAGAGAGAGAGAGGGTGGGGGGGGAGAAGGAAGGAGGGAGAGAGAGAGAGAAAGAGAGAGAGAGAGAGAGAGAGAGAGAGAGAGAGGGGGGGGAGGGGGGAGAGGGAGGGAGGGAGGGAAGGAAGGAGGGGAGAGAGAGAGAGAGAGAGAGAGAGAGAGAGAGAGAGAGAGAGAGAGAGAGAGAGAGAGAGAGAGAGAGAGAGAGAGAGAGAGAGAGAGAGAAATAAAGATGAAGAAAGGGCAAGAGAGACAGAATGAAGGAGTGACATGCAGAAGGTAAAAAGAAAACATGATGCTATGGCCGTTTTGCTTTATGCCTGAATTTCAAGTATCACCGAGGTTATTTATTATCTCATGCACTTGATTTGATGCATCAGAAACTGTAGGTTTCCCTGTCATAGGCCGTCATCTCGTTTTTTTCCAATTGCCGCTGCCGGGCGCAAAAGGTGGGCAGAAACTGTCCTACATTTCAGTCTAGAAACGGCGGCGTGGGAATCACATCCAGAACGTGTATAAAATCTAACGGCTTCTCTCCCCCCCC